AATTTAAGTTTATTATTTTCAGTGAACATATGATTTTCTAATTGCAAAAAAGACTTCTATAACTAACTTCTGAATTAGTTCACTTTTTACTGAATTATATTGGCAGTCTATAAAATAGAAGGTGAGGAATCAGAATATATTGTTGTTATTGCCGCAAAATTGGTTTTGGTAATGCAAAGTTGAGTTAAAGCTAGATGATGTCAGTTTGTATATGAAACATATGTAGTAATTAATGCTGATCATTTCTTAAAATTGAATACCCGCTATGTTTGTCAGAACTGCTCAAAATGATAACTTAATTAAATTCTTTATGAGTAACATTCGTTTGTTTTATTGAAATTTTCGTGTAACATTTCGAATGTGTTTACTTTTGTCTGGTATGCCCCAAATAAAATAAATTAATAAAATAAATAAATGAATGAATAATAATATTACATTGATATCTTAAAATATTTATGTGTGTATTTATATAATTTACATTATTTTAAAAATGAATGAATTGTTTAAAATAATTAATTAGCAAAACAAATGAAAGACTATATTATTTTTTTATCATTGACACTATAATATTGATCATAATCTCGTTCACGATATTCCAACACAATTCTTAAATCATCACTTTTGGCTCTATATTCTCGTGTAATTGATTTCAGTTGATCAATACAAGAATGTCGTTTTGTAACCAATTTCTCAACTTCATCTCTATTTGGATTACCTTTGTTACTTGTCAGAGCCAATAATAATATAAATGATGATGATAAATTTTTAAATGCATCATAATGACTATTATTGTTATTTATTAAATAATTAATGTTAATAATACAATTAATAATAATAATATACAATGACAACAACAAATACAAATATTTACCTATCAACAAGTGCTATATGATACCAAGCAAAAGTAAAAACAGAACCAGCTGCAAATATTAAACCTAAAAGAGTGTAAAAGAAAAAAAACCAGATACAAAAGAATAGAGCAGAATATGATAATATCAACCATGCCAATCCCAAAATTATTTTATTCTGAGCTCTTGACTCCTCATATATCTCATATTTAGCAGAGATTTTTCCCATAAGATAGATTGGCCAATGAAAACACAATCCAGGGAGAAAGAATGGCAATTGTATTAGGAATCTAGACAGTTCAAACAGAAATTGATATAGTGCCCATGGTATGGTTAGACTACGTGTTTCATATCTTGCTATATCTGAATTGGATAGACTCAACATATCTAACTTGGTTTTGTAATCATTTAATGATTTCTTTAACAAGACTGCTTCTTCTGATGTTGTATTCGTAAAAAAATAAATAAGGCTTGAGATTATCATTGATAAAGAAGATGATAATTAGGTGAAGGATTGTTATTTTTAGTTAATTTAATAAATAAAAATCTAGTATTTGTTTAATTCTTACTGTTGAGTGATTTTTACATATTCTTCAAGGTGAACTCGTTTATCATCAGCAAATAATAATTTTCTGGCCATATTTGCAGAATTCAAAATATCCCTAATAAAATATTTAAACATGGATGTGTTGAGTGAATATAAACCAACCAGGCAATTTACATAAATGTGTGAATTGAAAGAAATGTTTACCAATCAGCAGCATTTATCGATAATTTTTCTAATTCAACTTCTATCCGATTAGTTAATTGTTTAACAGCAGCACGTTCACCTCCAGAGAAATCCTTAAGATACGCTTCAACATATATAGGTGGTCCATATCTTATAATTAAAAAAACCAGAGGAAAATTTTAGTAACACATACAAAAAAAAAATTGCCATAAATACATATGATGCTGTTTGTTAATATAAATGAGTATCATTATTACGTGACTATGACCAGGCTTCTATATTTAGATTTTTGCAAATATGTTATTGCACATGGTGATATTATGACTTGTTGAATTGATTTCTTATTATTAGTAGTGTTATTGCTCTTTTTCAAATGATCGTTTTTACTATTGACACCTTGATCAATTTTACTATAATTTGCTACATATTCAGAAGCATATTGTAAAGCAGCCTAGAGAATAATGATATAAAGATAATAGTAGAAGGAAAAGAAAAGAAAAAAAAAAGATCAATAATAATAATTTTGATAATTTATTAGTAACAAACTATTAACTAACTATTTACCCAGGAAGCTCCATCTTTCAATTCTAGTAAACGAGACTTTGAATGTGATGTTCCTAATCAATCCAATCAATATCCATTTTTATCAAATAATTATACATATATTATATTACACACACACATATATATCACATATATATATAAAATATATATTAACCTTCAGGAAATACAGCTACAACTTCACCAAGTTTTAAAACTTCATTAGTAGAAGCAAACAAAGCTTTATTGTTCTTGCTAGTCCTATCAACAGGAACTACTCCCCCACTATGTAACACCACATTGAAATATTTATTCCCAAATAATGAATTCTTTGCCCAGAAATGGAGTTTTCTTTTGTGAGGAAATGTTGAAGCAAGGACCGCAGGATCAACTATCATGTTACTGAATGATTATAAATAACATATTACAAATTATAAACAAATTTTTGTAATATAAACTAATCCTAATGTATTTTACTTACCAGTGTGTTGAACACACAATTAAAGGACCTTCTTTTGGTACATTCTCATCACCAATTACACGAATTTCTCTATAAAATCCATAAATACTCCAACGTGCTAACGTAACTACAACATCGTAATATAGTCCAAATGGCATGTTTTGTTTAATAATTAATTATTAGAAGTTGAATTATAAAAAAAAAAATGAATAATATTTAATGTATATACGTATGTTTATTCTTAAAATGGGAAAATAAGAAGTATATATTTAATTTATAAATAAATAAACAGTGTTATCAGATAGATAAATAAAATTAACAAAAATTAATAAATATTTATTTTGATCTTTTCGTTATTCATCAATTATCCACGCTTTTTTCCCTAATATTGTTTGTAAAAAAAAATAAAAAAAATCCCCAAAACCCCACAAAAAATTTTTTATTCATGCAACTTAACGTGATAGCTGCGATACAGAAATTACGAATTGATTTGCTTATTTATTAAATAATTTAAAAATCTAACCAATCAGATATTTTTCCAATCACACAACTAAAAGGATTGTATCAATTATAATATTTTATTAATATGTAACAAACTTACCAGTTAATAATGGATGAATGAATGCGTGGATGAACGGATGAACGGATGAATGGCGAGTGAGTGAATGAGAGTGGATGAATTTTGCCTAATTTTTCATAGTAGTATAGTTAGTATAATCTCACGTGGAATTCACATGACTTGATTACAGTAATTATTGTATTGACGCGTTATCAGATAATTAATGATGGCTACTATTAGTTGAAAGAAGTTTGTATGTCATGTAGGGATCGGGATCTAAAACCTTATATCTAGTCAATTTGTATCGAGGTTGCATGAAATCATAATAACTAGTTTAGCTGGCGTGACTAAAAAAACATGGAGTAAGATAATAATAAATCAACTTGACGAAACTATGAAATGGTAAATGGTATATTTTAGTAAGAATATTCATTATAAATTATTATTATTTATTTGCAATTATATGGAATCAGTAGGATTGTTTAATGGAGCGTAATAATTACAATATATATATTTATTTGCTTATATTACCACCACATTTAGCAATAAATTTATGGTGGCAAGTGATATTAACGACTTTAAATTTAGTGATATTACTCAAAACCTTTATGAAATACTCAATTCACTCATCAGCTTGTTGATGTAGAATTGAATTATCAACAAAATACGAAAAGAATGCGCAGACTTTATTTTTATTTTCTGGTTAATTTATATTTAATTGTTATTATTATTGAAAAAAGAAAAACTATCTAGAAAGATATAATTCTGCGCAATTAAATAATTTAAAATGAATGATTAATTATGTTCATTTACAAAAACTATGAAACAATTTGTTATTATTATTACTATTGTGAGGACGATGTCATAAAGAACAAGAGCCTGATATATTAAATTATCAATATGAAAATGCAGACATTACGAGTGAGAAATAAATGGAATATCTTCACTAAAAAGTCTAAAGTTGAATAAACTGATAAGATTGTAAATGTTACTAAAGGAATTTATAAGAGAAAAAGCGTGAAATATGCAATGGGAAAAGATTTGGAATTAACAAGTTTATTATTAATATTAATGTGCTTGTTATAAATTCACTATTTATTATTATTATAGTTTATTTAGGATAACGAAGCACTATATGAAAGAATCATGATGATTTTCTGATTAAGATAGATATGTATAATTGAAGTACAATGATATATAATTTTTCAATTATTATTTTTTAACACCTTCTAAATGACTGCATGTATAACATTTTTAGATGGAGATATTAACCCTTTGTATGATCAATGATAAAAAAAAATAAAGTACTTGTGAAGACATCAATATGTTCGTGATCTAGAAATATGCAATATTTATTATCATTTATTTTTGATTATTTTGAAAAAAATATGAGGAATTATATGAAAGATGTAAAGAAATCGAGGAAGATCATTCTATCAAGAGATGCAGAATAATGCAAGTTTACATATTCATATTATTATTAGAAGAAAGAAAGAAATATAATTAATTAATTGAAAGATTAGAGAATTGATTTAAGCTTAGGATAGAGAGAAGGCAGAAGTTGAATCAGCTTATAAAGCAATGGTTGATCAAATTGATAACTTTGAACAAAAAACTATTCATACCTTACGAAGCAACATCGTTTTTTATCACAATCATCTAACATTGTCTTCTTCTGATTACCGAGTTTAATGTTGTGGATTTGGATTTGGAATGATATCATCATCATTGTTAATATTAAAATTACTACTACTATTATTATTATTATTACTATTGGAAATGGGTAATAATGGAGGTGGTAATGCTGGTGGTATTTGTATTTGTCTTTGTGAATTGTTATTATTAAAGAAATCTAAAGACAAATCCTTCCATTTAGTTAGGCCTTCTTTTAATTGTTCTGGTATTAAATTAACTTGATTTTATTTATTTATAAAGGAAATTTATTTTTTATTTATTATTTTTTTTTTTTAAAAAAAAATTTTTTTTTATGAAAATCAATTTACTTACAATCATCATTATCATCATTTGAAGGTGGTTGATGTTTAAGTGGAACTGCAATTGCTATTATACATTTAATAATAATAATGAAGATGATAATAATAATAATAAATTATCATAATTTTGTATACAATCATGATTATTATAGATTATTGAATATATTACCATCATCAGGTAATTTTTCATAACCCCATTTATCAGTGAAATCTAAATGACTAGTATCTCTAATGTGTGCATGATTAAAACGACCATCCTTTATGAAAAGAAAACATCATTATAATTATTATCAGAAAGTCAATAAATTTAATTTCAATTGCAAATAACATTTTAAATAATAAATTTACCATGTTTGAATGTTTAATTTTATCAATTTTATCAATTTTATCAATCAAGTTTACAATTAATATGTAGATCAAAAATTACATGTGTATATATATATGTGCGTGTAACCTCCATAAAAACATGCTATTAATAAACGAGCTCTGACCATTTTTAATCTTTCCAGTGCAGTTTTTGGATGTGAATTGCTTTGATCTTTGCCATTATCTTGATCACTATTATCAACATTTAGCACTTCATCTCTTGCTTCTTTGATTAGTTTTTTTAGAAATCTAGATATTCCATAAACATCATCTGTATACCTTGTTTATTTTAAATGTCTTCAGGTTCTAAAAATCCTTCAGCATCCTTATAATTATAACTAAGGTTACTTGCATTAGAATTAGCATTGATCTTAGTGATTTCTTTTGCTCTCCTTCTGCAATATTATTATAAATTTCGCTTGTGTAGTAATTTGAATTTAAAAATTCAATAATTTCTCTTCCGTCGTTTTATCTTTCTTGAAATTGTCCATCATTAATAAAATATTCTTCTTGGTTATGAATATGGGTATGAATAAGTTGGATATTGAATTGATCTACTTGTATTCTCATAATCGTAATCATCATACTCAATTCATAATTAACAAAGTTTTTCTTCGCCATTTCTTATCACGATTTGGTTGTTGAAATATGAAAACTAGGATTTTTTTTATTTTTTTATATATAATTTTTATAATTGAACGAAAATCTAATGTCTCAAGGAGAACTGGATTAATAATTGATAATTTAGATATACCAGGTCAAATTAAAAACTCTTTGAAGAAACCAATTTTGAGTCAACAAACAGCTCCCAAAGCATACTTTTATCACATCATGCATAACTTTGGGAGCTTTTAATTTTAGATCACTCCAGTACCTCCTGTGATCCTCCTTTTTTTCTCTTATTATTGACACAAAATTTGTAATGTCACGTGCTAACTTTGGTGGTGAATGAATCGTGTGTTTTTGAAGCCCAAACGGCTCCAATGATATGATTATTAATTAATGTTTGTTTTAGGTTTGTAATTATTCCTGGGGAAGCATCTGGATAGTTCTTATATAAATATTTTACTATCAAAAGTTCTAAAATACTATCTCCGAGAAATCCAAGATGCTTATAACATTGAGTTAAAGATTGGATGAGACATGTGTGAGTGCTTCAGCAATCAAAGCCTTATTGTTAAAGCGTAACCATCAATCTTCTCAATATCTACATTTTTTAAGATGCGCATGGTTTATTCAATTGATGAAATGTTCACATTCAGTAATATTTCCAAATAGAACTTCCAGTGCCCTAGCACATTTGAATCCTCAATTACATCAGCAGGCATCTTATCTGTCGAATTTTTCGTTTTTTTAGCATTCATTTCATCATCTTGGATATCTCTTGTCAGCGTCTATATTTATTTTCCCCATTGATCCTGAAATTAAAAAACTTATTTGAATATCGACACACGTGTTTTTTTTTGTTCAACATTGGATTGTTTTTATCAAGGTTTTCTGGAAGTTTGCATTTGCCGGGCTATTTCCACCGCGAAATTCAATGTTTAAGTCAGGTTTTTGTACGCCAGGAAGTTCTCATGAACAACGAATTCTTTGTACAATAAACTATTATTTTGATGATTTTGATTTTTTTTATTCTTTCTATTATCCTATTTATTACCATCGACATTAGAAAGTCAAGTTCTATCTATCACCAGCATCAGTTGTAATTATTTTTCGAATACCACGAATCATATCATCGTAAACACTTTTATATATTTTATTGTTGGTTTAAAATAAAAAGGAAAATGTCTTCAAGATATTTTTAATTATATAATTTATAATTTTGTGTAATAAATAATATATACAATTTAATTTTATTTACAAGGAAAAAAATTTTCAAATTATACGCTTTTTTATAATGTATTTTGTTCTTTAACAACCAAACAAACAACTTCAAAAGAAAAAATAAAATAATGGAATTTTGATATACAATTATATATATATTTATTTATTTAATAAAAGGTTTTAAATCCATAATATACCATTTATATATTTTTAACTTTTAATTTTTATCATTATCACTATATTAACACCATTTTTTGTTTAGTAAGAAAAAAAATATTTATAAAATCTATCGTATAAATATAAATATAAATATAAATATATAAATATATATATATCAATCAATAGTAGAAGAATTTTATTGTCGTCATCATCATTGTCAACAACAACAACAACAACAACAACAACAAAATATATTATTTCTTTTCTGACATTGTAGATGAATATTGTTGAACTTTTGTATTGTTGCCATTATTGTTCGGACTAGATGTTGTGGTGTTTGTTGTAGCAGCTGCAGAAGTGTTAGCAGCCTGATTCCAATAATTGTTAGCACCGGTAGGAGAACCCATGTATGTTGAGTTTTGAGCGTACTGGTTCATATGTTGTTGAGTGTATTGTGGATATTGAGAAGACATGTATGAAGCTGCTGTTGTCGGAATACCACCACCTGTATTCATTGCCATATTATTTGGAATACCTCCATATTGATTAGTAACGTAAGGATTTAAACCAATGGCATAAGGTTGAGCTGACGACATTTGATTGTTGTTATTGTTGGTTTGCTTTTATTTATTATTTATTATTAATAGTTATATAATAAATATTATATATTTATGTATATAGTATTATAAATAGTATTTAATTAAAAATAATTAATATATATATTTTTTATTTGATATAATATTTTCTTTCCATTCATTATATTTATATACAATATAGATCAAATCAGATTAGATAAATCTCATCACCATCTTTTAGATTAATACCTTACGATCAACAGAATCATAAACAGAATCATTATTGTTTCCATCTACTGTCGGTGCATTATCGTTACTATAAGTAGGTGGATTCTGAGATGCACGAGACTATGACGACGGCGATTATTAAGACGATGTTAGGATAGAAAAAAAAAATATAATCGAATTAAAAAAATTATTTTAAAAAATCCCAATTTATTATTTCTTTAATTGATACACTTACAGGAGTAGAAGGTTCTTGAGGTGGGTCAGGCGCATTTAAACATGCTTGAATCAAATTCTTGCCTTCAGGTTTTGTGACAAGTGGTTGAAGTTTAGGTGTAGTGAAGGTGTATACAAGACCAGTTTCTGATACTACGAGTAAAAGTACTTGTGTTCCGGTTAAAGTACTAAGTTCGTATGCCTGTAAATTAGAAGAAAAATTTTTTACTAAATTATATTAATTATTATTAAACTGCTTTCTTTCTTTTTCACTATTAATTAAATGATGATTCAAGTCTAGAAGAAATAGCGAATGAATTAAATAAATGATGAACTTTATAAATTTCTAAAATATAAAGATATACACGTAATGTCCTTTTACGATTTTTGTTTAGGGCATACTTCACCAAAGATGGTAATAAACATAATAGGGGCTAAATAAAATTTTAATTATTACTAACTACTACATAAGTCTAAAAACAAACAAATAAATTTTTTTTTCCGAAAAAAAAAAAAAAAAGATTTGGAGGAAGAGAAAAAAAGAAGGTTCTATTTTTTTCTTTCTATCATTAAAGATAAAAAAAAAATTTTTTTTACCTTCTTCATTATTCCAGCTTTCCTTTTACTAAATGTAATGTGACGTCTACTTTTATCTTCAATATATTCAATCTTTATTTTACGTCTGCCAGCTCTTTTTTCACTTTTACCTTCATCACCAGTTTCTTCTTCATCCAAGTCATCCTCTGGTTCACGTTTATTACCTCTTCTGGGAGTATTTTGTTCAGATAAGTCAGTTGTAGAAAGAGTAGAGACATTACTGAGTCTTCTTTGGTCAATTTGATTAACAGGAACAGGACTATTATTTAGATTGCTCATGTCTCTTTTTATTGCCTTTCGTTATTGCTGTGTATATATTTGTATATATATATATGTGGCGTGCTATCAAAAGTTCAAAAAGATTTTTTTTTGGTTTGGTTTTGAACAGTAGCTTTTTTTGTAGTTTGTATTGTCTATATGCGTTTTGTGGAGCTGTTTGTGGTATGAGTTCAAAAGTAAAAAGGAAATTCGACTGATTCCAGTGAGAGAATATGAAAAAAAAGGGGATGAGTTGTGTGGCGTGCATAATAAATAATAAAATAAATCGTGATTGGTCACAAATCACAAACCTATTTTTTTTTTTAATATTTCTTTATTAGGAATTTTGATTTTGTGGGATAAAAATGATTTCTTCAAAAAATTACTGTTCATTAATTTAAAGAAAGTGAGAGAATAAATTTTTTATTGTGTCATCCATCATTGAAATGTATAAAGTTTGTGATACAACTCTAACTTTAAATAAAAAAGATCATATGGATCGGACCTTTATTATGAAAATTATTCTATTTTTGGAGTGAATTTCCCAAATTTATTATTATTAGATATTTCTCAGGGGAAGGTTTCTACTCTTTTCCAAGTACATCTACGGCTTTTCCAATATTTCCTGAAGGTGTTAATCCCAATTCATCAATAAGACCTGCGTACATATCATAATAACAATTTTAATATTATACATATTAGTATTGGTTTTATCATTGGTTAAAGTTATTATATTTTTTAAAATTAATAATCTTTAGAACTACATAAGAAATTTCTTTACCAGACAAACAATACCTTTACCAAATAATGCAATGAAAAATGCTATTACATTAATGCTGAAGAAGATGTTTTATGATGGATTGTATCTTAAAGGTATACAAGTGACATTGTCACCAAAAATTAGCCAAGATGATCTGTATTTTTTTTTAATTAATTTATATTAAATTTTATAAATTTTATATTACAATCAATTTGAATATATGTTAGAAAATATATATTTGTGCCCACAGGATCTTGTGGCTGCTTTCATGGAAAATTTTGATTAATGTTTGAGTGAAGAACAAAATGTAGAATAGAAAGTAAAACTGATAGAGATTTTGGGCGAATGTGTTTCTGCAAGCATAAACTTGACCTTGTAACATGATAGTTTATCATCAAGAAATTGTTATTGGAAATTGGATGATGATGGAAGACAAATCAATCACAAAATAAAAGAACACACAATGCAATTTCTTTGAGATATTTCACATATTATACCATGATCAAATATGTTTGATAATATTGTTCATATCATTTATGAGATTTTAAAAATTAAGGCAAAAAATTAATAATTTATTTGATAGAAAATGAATTTGTTCAATTAATAGGCCACTGATAAAAACTTCAGATTGTAGAGTATAAAAAAAGAGGAGGAAAAACAAATTGAGAACAAGGGAATGTTGGCATTTTTAACTATCAGGCCAAATTCATGCTAAGATGATTTGCATGTGCAATGTCAAGTAAGGATACCGGCTGCAACTTTTGATGATGGTTGCTACCATCTTTGTGTCATATAAAAACAATTGCAACCACCTTTACAACCATTTTGTTTCCTTTTTTGGATTGCGACATGGAACACTAATGTCAAGAGTTTCACATTTAGCCCAGTATTCTAAGCAGAATGTTCATTTAGCCAAATTTTGAATGTTGAAAGCTAAAATAGCTGGTTTGTTTAAACTTGATGAACTATTAGTGCTGTTTATGTAAATGAACAATTATTATCAAAGATTAGTTATTTAGTTAGAATGACATATATCAAAGAAATTGAATTACATAAGCATCAGATAGAATAATTGTAATTTTCCTTTAAGAAAATTTTTCTCTTTACAGTTGGCAAAGAAAGAAAATTTGAGGATATTATCTGGATTCTGAAAAGGCCTTGGAATACCCATGGTATATTTATTATGCTTGTGTAACATAAAATATTTTCTAAAATATTTTGTTTTATGAGCCAATGGCCACAAAATAGATCTTGACAATTTGGACTTCAACTGTACTTACACATTTGAAGAATTCAAATTAATTAATGAACAACTAAAGACATGCACCTTGGAGATTAATGAGACCCTGGTGGATCTATTTGAGTTTAATAAAGAAAAATCCTTCCAATTCCCCAAAATCTGATAAGTAAGGAAGCTGTTGCTGACAAGATCTTTGGTCAACTTCACAATTGGAATGTGCAAACATGCCAAAATGGAATTGTTTACTACCTCCCAAGTAAGGTTTCCAGTCCAAACTGTTTTCTCAAAGTCCAAACTAGTTTGGGCAATTTGGGCTTTCAGCATTTTTTATAAACATGAATACCAATCAACTTATTTTAACTTAAACAACTTTAAAGTAATTTCGCCCAATTTCAGCCAATAACAAAAAATAGTTTGGGCTTATAATAAAGTAATTTTTGCCCAAAGTGTTTCTGCAATTTCAGCTACTAATAAAGAGAGTTTTGGCCAGAAACCTTACCCCAAGGTGGCTTTGATTTCAATATTGCTGGTCAATGTATAATTCGGACACCAGATGTTGCCTTTATGTTGAAGGATACTTATTGGTTACTTGATCATCACCAGCAATGGACCTTCAAAGGTCAGCCATTTATGCCTACCTGTGTTGTGGAAGTCACAGTTGTTCAAGAAGGATATCAAGAATTCAATGATTTAGATCAGAAATTCACTTTAAAATGGACTTGTCAGTTGAACTTGGTTGGTTAGTGGACCCACAAAATAAGCAGATATATATTTACAAATGGAAGGCTAATAGGGTTGGTTGTTTGTCAAACTTCACATGGAGTAGTGTAAATGATAGCAATGTTTTGCACTTGAAGTACAGAAAATTGATGATGAAATTTCACAGATAAGTTTTATTACTTTATGTTATAAATTTTTGTTATTCATTACTTTTTGTTATAAGTTCATGTATTTCATGATTAGACATCCTCAGAATCATCATCAGAAAGTGATGAAGAATTACAAATTAATTGTCCTGAATGTGAAATAACTTTTACACTTTTATGAAACATGAGCCTTTTGTAAATTAACAAATGTATTGAATTTTATGATCAAATCTCATATATATGCATCTCTGAGGTAAAATTGCAACTAATAATAATATATGTGATTGCTGAACCTTTTATATGATGTTGTACATGAAAATGAAATTATGTGAATTTGCAATTCACATATGTGAAATTCAAAATTAGCCAATCAGAATTTCACCCCACTCTATAATATTTCAATTTCACATAACTTCAATTTCACATACAACATGGATATCAATAAACAAAATAATCAAAGTACCAGACTATTGAGGAGAATCTTTAGTTAGTGTGACAACGATGACAATGATTATTTTTTAAACATTAATCAAAAAAATTTCAACCACTATGATTATATGTTGTGGTTGATGTTTGTATTAAATTAAATTAAAAATTAAGTGAATGATATTTTAATAACACACATGCATATATTATACATGCATATATAATTTAATTTAATCTATTACTAATACATAAGCATAATAATAAAATCTAATATATTAATTAATCTATCATCTAATAATAGTAACAGCATAAATAATTTATCTTGGAATGAATGAATTGTTGTAGTTGATGCAGCCAGCTGCTTCTGTGCTGTTATTGTTAAATAATAATGTTATAATGAATTTAAATGTTTCTTTTCAATCTTCAATGGTAAGCCTTATATCACGAATTGGTTGATTTGATTCATTATCCTTTTTTGTAGTTTGCTCATTTACTAATATAATTAAAATGACCATGAGTAAATAATTAATTAGTGGACACGTTAATAATAAATGATGATAGATTATGTTCTAATAATATTAATTAAATAATTTACCATTTATTAATAACCCTTTGCCAAAATTTAAAAAAGCAAAAATTCCATATAACCAAGTTATAAATGATATAAGTATAGCAACAGTGACTACAAAAAAAAATAAAAAAAAATATTTAATTACATTTGTATAAATTATTCATTAATATAATTCACTCATTAATTGTAAAATAATATACTTACTAAACACTATGAAAAAGTACCAACTGCTAGCTAAATGTTGTAATGTAGCCTTCAATATTAATATAAAATCAACAAGTGCAATTGTTGATAAACTAAGATAGATAACCATTCCTATCTTCCATTCTCTGATCAACTAAAAATCATATATAGATATTTGTTAATAATATATATATTATATACGGTTACATTATATTATATTAAATACTGACTGATTGATAGCCAAGATTCACTAATATTATAATTAATAATGTTACACCCATATGGAAATAATAAAGTCTTTTTGGAATTGACAATTCCTCAGGGGCAGAATCTCCATCTCTCTCCTCACTGAATACCAAGAATACCTCAATTGCAGATATAAATACAAAGAATACAGAAAGCTTAATAAGCATCACGAAAATCAACATTGTCTTGTATAATTCTAAAGAATATAATAATAATGGTAGATGGTGAAATATTAATATTAACAATCATATTAATGAAAACAGTTCTTATAATATTCCTCATTCATAATATTTCATACTCTGCATTTTAACATCGGCTCCTATTTTTTTATAAATATCCCAGCCAAATTCCAAATATAATTTCCAACAAATAAATGCCATTATAGAAGCAAATGCTACTAACATTGCTATCAACGGGAAATCATGTCTAGTAAATGCAGGCTCCAACAAATGATTGTCACTTGGACAAGCTTCCCGTAAATCTGATAACCATTTTTTAATTTCCATAAATTGAACCTAACAATAACAGTAATAAATTTAATGATTAAATCATTGAAAATAGTAATAATAGTATAATAATAACAATAATAATTACAATTCCATAAAGTGCACATAAAAAATTAATAACTGTTATTGTTATTATTTGTGTTGTATTTCCATTATATATCTATTATTAGTGGATTAGTATTATTTATAATATCAATTATCATATCACATTAAATAATCATAACATACTTACCGCATTTATACAGAACCAAAGTTGAAATAATTGAAACATCATGAAAATAGCATTTTCTTCTTCAATAAATTTTATTCGATCAATTGAAGGTTCTAAGTCACAGCCACCTAAAGAAGGTATATCCTCCAATGTTTTTTCGAATCTAAGATTACGCAAAAGTACATTTGTCTCTAATGCAACTATCACAACGAGTTGTAGAATCGACACTATAACAAATAGTTTTGTCCATTTAGAAGATGTTATCCTATTATACTGCATATATATATATATATATATATATATGTTTACAAATAAATTAAATTAATTATCAAATAAAATTTTCTATTCAATTAATTATATATAAAATACTAACACTCTTGCGAAAGAAAGAGATAACATTATAAACCATTTTGAAATAAAAATAATTTTTTCAAAATAAAATAAAATACTGCTTTTATTCATTATTTATTCATTATTTGTCAAACACGGAAATGCATTATTATTGTTAATTATTTATAGAAATCGAACTTTTTTATGGAACGTGTAACGTCTATCACGGGAACAAAAAACAAAGAGTAATAATATTACAATTATATTAAATTTATAATCATCATTTCCTATCAGAACATTTTTTAACTTTTAACATAAATGCGTCAAATATAAGTGGCGTATTAAAAGCTGTAATTGTGACAGTAGCATAGTATGAAAATCCAATTATGCGAAGAATAATACCTATGTATATCGATCCACTATATATTCTAATAAAATTACATGAGTAGATAAAAAAAATTAATTATTATTATATACATATCTATTAAACAAAGTATTTAATTAAAATGATTAAGATGTCAATCTTACAATCAAATAGGATTCCATATTTTATATCTATCTTAAAGTTGTAATACAAACAATTAGCGTTGTTAGTCGAAACGGTTTGAGCTTTGTCGAAACATTTCGTCATTCAACATTTAGGCATGTCGAAAGTCTAAAGTGATGTTAAACATATTGTTTTCAAAACACAACTCCTCCTCCGTTTTCAAAGATATAGGCATTAAATTTCCATGAAATCTAGTATATACATTATACTTTAGAGCCATGGAAAGATTTAATGGATTAAAAATACCAGTGGCATAAAAAAACTCATTCGAAATACAGAAAATTTCTTACTTTATCATAATACTTCTATATATTGCAACTTCCGAAGAAATAAAGATTTTCTCTCCATAGCACTTGTTCTACAAATGTATTCTGATTAAAAGCCTATAATAATTTTATAAATGTAACGATTTTCCAGAAGCCTTAGTGGTCGAAAGTTCATAATACTAATAAAATGCTAATAAAACATGCTGTTTTCAAACCACTACTCCTCCTCCGTTTTGAAAGATATGGAAATCAAATTTGTGTGCAAGATAGCATAAGTAATATAGATTAGAGCTATGGAAAGATTTAATGATGTAACAATATCAATGGCATAAAAAAGCTCATTTGAAACATGGAAAATTTCTTCTTTATCTATTTATTGCAACTTCTGAAAGAATTCTATGAAATAAAGATTCTCTCTCCATAGCACTGTTCTACAAATGCATCCTGATTAAAAGCCTTTAATAATTTTACAAATGTAACTATTTTCCAGAAGCCTTAGCAATTGAAAGTTCGTAATACTAATAAAACACTAATAAAAAATAATGTATTTGAAAAATTATTTTGTTACCACCATATGCGAACGATTTCCACCTTTATTCCTGTGTTCAGAGGGATACAGCTTTAGCCTGGTGAGGGATAAATATAAATACATGGATATATCTCTGATCACCTGGTCCATAGAATTATCTGACCGATACCCAAAGATCGATAAGATTGATAAGGGGGGATATGATTTCCCGGGCTTGAGGCTTTATCCCTACGAACTGAGGGATAAAGGTGTAACCTTTCGGAAATTGTCCGCATGGGCTGTTTGTTACACGTTTCCTTTTTAGAGAAAAAAAGGAGCATGGATTTACATTACAGTCTGAGATTATATCATAAATGGAAATTGATTTTCGAATTTTGATTGGCCATTCAAAGGTTTTTTTTGAATACCAAAAACCAATAATATTACATAGAAAATCTTATAGTTAATATACTCTCTTGAACATACAGTTTATTAATCTGTCTTCATCCAAAAAGGTTTACACATTAATTTTTTCCCTCAATATGAGCTGTAGTTTGGCTTGAATTTTCGATTATTTGCTATTTTTTTTTTATGTTTTTTTTTGTACAATGTTGCGCAAAATGTTTCAAATTTACAAAAAAATTTGAATTTTTTTTTATTACTTTCATTACAAAATTGATGTCAAAAAAATTTGAGGTAACATGACACAATTAAAGATGTCGACCCAAAAATAAAAATATTATTAGTTTAATTCATCTATTTCATTTATCACATTGTCTGGAGTCCTTCTATGTGACTTATATTTTTTTACAATATATTCAGCCTGTAGTACTGTTAATCCTTTTCTGTAACAATCCATAAACCTTGAGGCTCTCATTGCATACTTTCTAATTTGTTTCAGTGATATAGATCAAAAGCATTGGGGACATTCTCTTGAAGACCTTTCCATGTGTAATTACAATGTTGTCTAACATATTGTTTAGTGGCCCCAATACATTTCAGTGTAGTTAAGATCACAGTGGAACTTTGGATAGAAGATGACTTTATGTCTTCTTGCTTCAATTAATTCTTGAAGTAAGGGTTTTTGGTTTTTAAAATCATCTTGGGTTGCTAAGATATGTCTAGCACAACAAGTCAAAGGTCCTTCAAGAGAAACTTTAAACAAAAAAATTTGAATGAGATTATTTTATCTTCATAAATTCAATGCAATTATATTTTATGTATAATATATTAACCATTTTTATTACAGAAAGCTTTTAGGTTAGGCCTCCATAACCCTCTTTCCTGCAAAATTATTCTCATTCCTTTTGGTTTGCCATGCAATTTTTCATCTGAATAATCATTCAAAAGCACCATTTGTTGAACTTTACCATTATAAATAGTGTTTCTCATGACTGGCTGTTTCCTCCTGGATTTAGATTCATCTTAAATGCATTTAATGAATCATCTGCTACTTTAGTATGGCTTGATGAATGATCAAATGCAAATACTGCAATCATATCAGGGTGTGTATGTTCAAAAATTGGTATGGCTCTGTTAACAATCTAAAAATAATAAGTTAATATCATTCTTTGTATTAATATTAATTCTTTATTTATCTTACTTGATCTATAAGCTGTCCAAGATCCCACCATCCATCAGCATTCTTTCCAGGACATATTATGACTTGGGCTTCATGAGGAAAGTCCTCTCCAACCACTAATTTTTGTTCATCTGACAATTTAAGTCTACTAATTGTTTCAGTTAAAAGTCACATGCATTGTTCTTCCTTGACCTTTTTTCCTCAAAGGCTGTTCATTTTTGGTCTCCATCCTGATTTTTTGCCATCATTAGATTGGAATGTTGTTTCATCTTGAGTTGCAACTACATGTATTTTTTCACCTTCTCCTGATTCAGGGTTAATTTGAACCTCCAAATCATCACCAGTAAATATAGGCATAAACTTTTGGTAACTATATTGTATTTGTGATATATTTAATTAATTAATTGAATATCTAAATAAGTGTAAAAATAAAAATCAAATTACTCTTCCATGTCTTTTAAAAATTTCTTTCTATATTCAACAACATCATCACGTTCATGACCATCAACATATACTCCTTTGGTAAATTTAGCATCAAGAAATCCCAATTTATTTAGCCATCTAATGGATGTCCTGGTACTATATAATATGAACATTTGATTGATTAATTTTTATTAAATTACAGATAAAAAAATGACATTATTTATTTATTACCTTATACTTGTTTTATTTTCAATTCCAATTATTGGTAAAATTTCTTCAGGTACATAATCACAAAATTTAGAATTTGTTATATTAAATTTATTTTTTCTAAGATATGAACTAATTTTGGATTTTACATCTTCATCATCTAATATACTACTTCCAATTAAATGTTGTCCACGTCTACATTTAGGAACATCTCCATATTCTAAAAAGGCCTTTGACTAGCTTCTTACACATCTTGAGAACCACTTGCTTTTATTTAATAGATCAGAAACTATTTCACTAGCTTCAATTTTTCCATATCCTTTATTTTTTAACCTAAGATATTTTTGAACAGCTTTCAAATGTACTCTATATCCTGGGGTTGATTTTTCTGAATTTAATTTTAATTCTATTTGATTTATAATTGAATTGAAGTGATTCCCATTTTCATTATTATTTTCAACAATCTCTCTATTAGATGAAAAAAAAAGATTTGATGTTTGCCCATTTTTTTCTTTGCTTCTATTTTTTTTCTGTATTTAGTGGTTCTAGAATTACCAAGATAAACCAGAGGGCGGTTGGATGTTAATAAGGGTAAATTTTCTATATCTTTTGACAAATTATCAAAAAGCAACTCCACATTTTCTTCAATTTCATTATTGAACCACTCAAAATTCTCTTCAATCCCAACCACATTATTTAAAGTCTTATCCACATTTAAATGTTCAGTATCATCATCTTTTAATTCTTTGTTCCTTTTATTTAATGATTGTTTTTTTTAGCAGCAGCTAATTCTTTACACAACTAAAGCTTTCTCTTAAGTTTTGGCATTATATTATTGTTATAAAGAAAATTATTATTATCAAGAATTGACTAAAAAAAAAACGCATGATTTTTTTTATGGATGAATTATATCACGTGATTTACCGGAATTAAAAAATCTATTTTATGTGCGACTTAAGGTGGGCCAAATTTACATGTTTCAAATTTGGAAAATTTTATATATAACATATAAAAATCACATGATTTTCAAAAGCTTATAACTCCTAAACCAGTAATTATTTTTTAATTGTCTTGATGATAGATTGTAGAACTAGTCAAAAGCTATCAAATATTGTCTCAATAATTTTTTGATAAGCACACAATATTTACTTTTTAGGTTTTAAAGTTGGTCAATTTTTATTTGATGGGTTATTGTGGTGTACACTATACAGTACCAGATCTTTAATTCTAATTATACCCATGCAAGACAACTAGCTAAGAATTTAAAATGTTTGTTTGAAGATATAATTGGCAAATATCCAGAGAGTCAACTGTGGCCATGTAAACCTGACTCACAAACAGCGAATGAATGATAGATAAGCAGGTAAAGAAGTAAATATATAAACATGCATGCAAAATTTGGCATAGACTTTATTTATATCCAAATTACAAATTAATTTATAATTATAATATATTTCATGATACTATTTATTAATTTTATTAATTTTAATAACAAGATTCCT